ACTTTAGTGTACATTTTCGTGTCACAGGTCTGAGCTGATCTAAGATCGGTTCTTTTCGCCTAAGCGTACCTCCTGCCACGCGCGAGCGTGAAACTGATGCGAGTGCCTGCTGTGATAGCTGATCGAGGCATGTGCTGTCCGCTACTTGCTAGTGATATCTTTCCTCCACTAAAACTGCACCACGTGGTACTCCACTTACTTGTGTCCGTTTGGCGTCGTGAAGGTTGCAAAGACGTTGCAAATGGCACCCCAAATGAGCACTCAGAAAAATTACTGAGGGAAACGGAAACCGGAAAGTATCTTCAGGCTACAGTGTCGGTCTTCCTGAACACATCTGCGGTATTTGCTGCACGGTGAATCGATTCTGAACGTCATCACGATCTTCGTGGCCAGCCATCGTTCAAGAACGCTATCGACAGACGTATATCAGAATATGCATACTGCGGCGTTGTTTCGCAAGAATACAGTTCCATATAAAAAAAGTTGCACGATAAACTGTTAAGTGAGTTCTATCCATATATGATGCTGGTTTGCAACATGAGGTTTTTCTTGGTTTAGTTGCCAAAGATGGATTTATCGGTGCCATGCACGATTTATCTCACTGTAACATGTTTCGAGATAGTAAATAGATATCGTGTTAAATGATAAGTCTTAAGCTCTGCGATAGGGAATTGTTAAAACAAGAAATACAGCAACAGTAATGATCATCATCAATTTTTTCAACTCAATGATGCGTAAGGACCTCCCCTCTGTCCAAGACTTGACCATAAATTTTTGTTATTTGCCATTTTCGTTCAGTGAATTTATTCAGTTTTACTGGAGATTTTATTAAAATCTGTTTCCTCTCTCCTGTAATTGAGTCTAGAGTGTCGCTAGTTCATCGATGGCTGATTCTTTTTGCAACTTATCCTGTCCATTGCCGTTTCATCTTTCTCACTCCTCCAGCGACATCATTGACTCTAGTTTGTGCTCATAAACATTCCTTCGTTTGCATTTTATTCTGGTTTTTACTGGCACCCACCCTTCCATGCTGCGTTGCGTCGTCTGTGGTTTATGAATGGCTTTCAAGCTTAGGTTGAAAGCCTCGCACCAATAGATTAGCACATACTGATGGAAAACTTTTCCTTTAGAACACAAGGGCCATTTTCCAATTTTCTAAAAGTGTTACTTGCCATTTTTATTCTTGTGTTCATTTCATATAGTCGATTCCTTGTTGCTAAAATCAGGTGTCCCAGATATGTATG